AAAAAAAAAAAAAAAGAGTTGAGAAAAAATTGCCAAGAGTGTTAAGGGCCAGTCTGAGATGATAGGAAAACCAACTTTCTTCCAAAGTTCAAAAGGAGTAACAAATGGAATGCATATTGGATTCACAAAGGTGACCTTGTAGAGGGTTTTAGTGGAGCTGTGGACACAGTACCAGATTGCGATAGATTGAGGAATGGGAGATGAAGGGTGGAGACTGCTGTTACAGGAATATTTTCAGGCTGATTGGCCAAGAATGGAGAGCCTTATGGTCATAATAATTGAGGGGGTTTTGTTGGTTGTTTTTTTTTTTTGACAGAACCGGGGATTGAACTCAGACCCTTGCGCTTGCCTGGGAAGCGCTTATTCCACTGAGCCATCTCCCTGGCCCTTTACTCTTCAGGTATGGGTTTTTTTTTTTTTGAGGAACCAGGGATTGAACTCAGGCCTTTGCGCTTGCCAGGGAAGTGCTTATTCCACTGAGCCATCTCTCTGGCCCCAGTATTTTTAAATCTATTTTCTCTATGTAGCCCGGGCTGGCCTTGAATTGACTGTTTAGCCTATGCTGTCCTTGAAGTCCCAGCAATCCTTCTGCCTCAGCCTTCCCAGCGCTGGGATGACAGGTATGCATCACCACACCAGGCTGTTTCTGTTTGTTTATTTCTATGCTAACAGAAGAGTGGGAAGAAAATACAGATACATACAAAATTAAAAAGTGGACTGAAAGGCATGGGATGGAACCTTGTCTACAGAAATCAAAATTGTTCTTCAAACAGGAGGGGTCTACCTCTATTTTATACCTGGATGGAAGGAGGAAAGGATTGGCTGGTTTGGGAGCTTCCTGTTGGGTAGTTCTCTCTGATAGTTTCTTCTTGAAGTTGGAGAACAGGGCATGAGGAAGGAGTTCCTTGAATGCATAAATGAAGTTTTCCCCAGACAAAGTCAAGGCTTTAGCAGCAGGACGGAAGTGTTTTGTATTTGAGGCCAGAGCATGGTGGGAAGCTGGTAGAGGCTGAAATGTTAACGTTAGAGGTTGAGGCTAAGAGGAAGTGTGATTTTCCTCTAAACGTGTACTTTACTGTATTTGGCCCACAAAACAAGAGTTTTTTTCCAGAACCTGATGCTGGGGTTTTGACATAGGCTCCCTCTTTCATGTCTAATCCTTCTGCCTGCCACAGCCTACGGTTTACTTCTAAGGCCTTGGGACTCCTTGTCCTCGCGGAGGACCAGCTGGAAGCCATTTTGATTATGTTCCACCACAGAAGGAGGACAATACAGCCCCGCCCAAAGCCAGGCGCGCCCCCGCGACAGGCCGAGTGCGCGTGTCCGCGCATCTTCCCGCCGGCCTGGCGGGCGACTGGCCCTGGCGTCGGCGTCGCGGGGCGGGAGGTGGGTGGGGGGTTGGGGTGGTTATGTAAGCGTTGCGCGCTCCCGCGAGGCGGCAACCAATAGGAGGTCCCGCCAGCTCGTGCTCGCGCACGTAGGGTGGGGGGGATGGAGCGCACGACGTGCGCGCGCCCTCTCCCCTCAGCCACCGCTGCTGCCTCCTTCTGCCGCTCCTGGTGCTGCTTGTGTGCTCGTTCGGTGCGGACCTGGTACCTCTTTTGTGAAGCGGCAGCTAAGAAGACTCGGGCGTTCGCTATGGCCGACGAAAAGCCCAAGGTGAGCTTCTGTGCCGCCTCCTCGCCTCAGCGCACGGCAGGGAACGGCGGAGCTGGGGTCCGGCCCGAGCCCGCCCCGGACTCCCCGCGCCTTCTCGGGCCCCCTACGGGGCCGGCCGCGGCTCAGGCCCGGGCGCTCCGCGCCATTTTCCTCCCTCCCTCTCTTCCTCCCGCGTCGGAGAAGGCCAGCCGCCCCCCCCCGCCCCCGGAACCTCCGAGTGCGCGCGACGCGAGGCGGGCGGCGGATCGCGGGCTCCCGCGGGCCCACCGGCTTCGCGCGGGCACCTTTGCCGGCCGCCGGCGCGCGGAAGAAGGGCGTTGGGCGCGCGGTTTGCGGGCTCCGAGACTGCACGGCGTCGGCTGTGGCGGGAGTCCCCTCGGCCCGGGGCTTCCCCGCCGGGTGGGAGCCGAGGCGGCCCGCGAAGGCTCGCTGGGAATCAATGGGCTGCTGCGCGGCTGCGAGGCGGATGCCCATGGGCAGTCAGGCTCGGGGCTTGGGGATTCCCGGGGAGTGGTCCCACTTTTAGGGCCCCGGGGACCCAGAGGGGAAAGGGCAGCGGCCCTTCCCCAGGTGGTAGTGCCCCCTGAACCGGAGGGCACCATGTGGTTTCAAGAAGTTGGAGGCTGAGATGCGAGCACATAGACTTGGGGCAGAACTTCTGAGCGCGATTATTGAGGTACCAGGAAGCTTCCCATGAGGATGGGGACACGCGTTTAAGGGGCAAAGGGGACTTGCTGCGTTGGGTTGCTTTGACACCTCCTCTACTTTCTGAAGTGAAGTAGGGGCTGCAGAATTCCTTCCACATCTGATTTTGTTGAACTTCGGGTTAAGTTGAAATCTACAAGGAGGAAAACTGCATTTGACAACAAAGGGGAGGGATATGAGAGCGCTTAACTAAACGTAAACGAAAAAGAAGTTGCTAATAGAATCGAACATAAATCGAGCTTCTCGGTTGTTAATGATGTTCTACAGAGGATCAGGTTATATGTCTCTCTCTTTTTTTTAATAATGTGTAGACTGAATTTGTTATTGGGATGAGTTTGGTAACTTTTTTTTTTTTTTTTTTTTTTTTTGTGGAACCGGGGGTTGAACTCAGGCCCTAGCGCTTGCCAGACAAGCACTTATTCTACTGAGCTATCTCCCTGGCCCGGAGTTTGGTAACTTTTAACAAGAGTCTTGTAATGAATTGTGGATTGCAAGTTCTTTTTTGCTCATCTTTTATACTGTCCCAGCAGTTGTACTTCAACTGCTTCTCAAAGACATTTTTATCTGTTAAGGAGGATGTATTGTTGGTGACAGAAAATACTCCCTTTTAGAAAATTCGGTTTCAAGATAACGATGTAATAGATTGGGACCTATCGCTTAAAATCTGAGTGTTGGGAGTAGGTTTTTCTGTTTCTGTGTCAGCTATCTAGTGGTGTTACCAGATTTCTGGTCGGAGACTGACTTCAGTGGCTGAAAACAGCTGTGTGCTGTTTTATCATACAGAATGAAACCTGTTGATTTGTGCATCAGTTTAGGCTGCTGTTGCTTTAAAAGATGTCTGGTTTTTACATTTTCCGAATTACACTTTTATTTTTCTTTCAACAGGAAGGAGTCAAGACTGAGAACAACGATCACATTAATTTGAAGGTGGCGGGGCAGGATGGTTCTGTGGTGCAGTTTAAGATTAAGAGGCATACACCACTTAGTAAACTAATGAAAGCCTATTGTGAACGACAGGTGAGGAATTGATATATGCAATTTAATAGATTTTAAAAAGTTTCCTTGCGACTAGGACCTATAGGAGCATAATATTACAGTGACTATCTTTGGTAGGATGAATATGCGTGTATGTACTTGGTATATCCGTATTTATTGTGTACTTGATGTATTGATTCCTCATGAAAATGCTTAGAATAGTTTGGTTAGTATTATTTATGATTATGCTCTACTAGAAATTATCACAGTTTAGTCACAGATTTGTTTAGTTCCCAAGGGAATGTAATCTTTTGTCTGAAGTAAATATTTTTGGTACTGGGAATCAAACTCAGAACCTTGAGCTTGCCAGGCAGGCGCTGTGCCACTGAGCTATATCCCTGGCCCTGAAGTGAGTGAACTTGCTGAATTTTTCTTAGGCCTTTTTTCTTTTTTTGGGGGGGTGGGAGGAGAGGATCTTTGAGGCAGGGTTCTACTATGCAGTTCAGGATAGCCCTGTGATCCTCTTTCCTCAACCTCCTAAGTGCTGACATTACAGGTATGCACTGCCACACCTGACTATTTATTTATTTTACTTTTATTCATTTTACTTTTATTCATTCGTTTATTTTACTTTTATTCATTTCATTTATTTATTTATTTTTGGTGGGACTGGGGATTGAACTCAGGCCCTTGCGCTTAACAGGGAATCGCTTATTCTGCTGAGCCATCTCCCTGGCCCCACTTTTATTCATTTTAATTAGTTGGCTCATTTTTTAAATTGATTGATGATTGATTTGAAACAGGGTCTTACACTGTAGTCCAGCCAGGGCATTAAACGCAGGCTGGCCTTGAAGAATTGGTGGCAATCTGATTGTCCTGTTTCAGCCTCTCCAGTGTTGGGATTACAGGCATGCACCACCGTGCCTCACATTCTTTTTGAGGGGGCTGTTGAGAAAGGGTCTTGTTGTGTCCAGGGTAGCTTTGAACTTAATTGTGTGGCTCAGGCTGGCCTGAAACTCTTGGCCGTTCAGTGTCAGTGTCTCAAGTGCTGTGATTAGGGACCTTCATCATTGTACCCGTTTTAAAAAATTTGGGGGTCTTGGAGAGATAGCAGCATAAGCACCTCTGTAGCAAGCCCAAGATCCTGAGTTTGATCCCCAGTACTGGTGAAAAAAATTAATATTTTTTGATACCAGGAATGGAACTCAGGACCTCACACTTGCCAGGCAGCCACTGTGCTGCTGAGCTATATCCCTGGCCCTTACGTATTTATTTTTAAACACTGGGTGTGGTGGCGCAGGCCTATACACAGTATTTGTTTGGCTGAGGGACGATTGCAAGTTCAAGGCCAGTCTGGGTAACTTAGCCAGATCTTGTTTCAGAGTGAAATGAAAAGAGTTGGGAATGTAAGCTCTGTGGTAGAGCACCTGCCTGCCATGCACTGGGCCCTGGTTTTGATCCCTAATAGCATGAAAAACTTTGTTGTTTTGTGTAGGGAGAGGGCCTCATGGTGCAGTCCAGACTGCACTAACCTTCAATTCCTTTTTTTTGTGGTGCTGGGGATTGAATTTAGGACCTGACACTTGTCAGGCAGGCACTTATGCCACTGAGCTATCTCCCAGCCCCTGGCCTTCAATCCATTTACTGCCCTCTTGAGTTCTGGGATTACAAATATGGGCCAGTACACCTGCATTTTATAATTGTTTTTTTGTTTTGTTTTATTTTGTTTGTTTTTGTGGAACCGGGGATTGAACTCAGGCTCTTGCACTTGCTAGGCAAGCGATTATTCAACTGAGCCATCTCCCCGGCCCCTTTATAATTGTTTTTATTTGTGGTACTGGGGATCAAACCCCATCTCACATTGACCAGTCATACATTTTGCTGCTGAGCTGTGCAACTCTCAATTCCAAAACCCAGGAAATTTTTTTTTTTTTTTTTTTGTGGAACTGAGGATTGAACTCAGGTCCTTGCACTTGCCAGGGAAGCGCTTATTCTACTGAGCCATCTCCCCAGCCCCAGAAATTTGTAATTTTGAGCCAAGCATGAACTTTGTATTAAGGCTATATTTATATTTTATTCAGAAAAGCACTGTAGACATTAAGAAAAGGAAATACAAAAACTCTCTTTTTTGCTTTCTATGTATTGGGGATTGAATTGAGGGCCTTTGTAATTTTCCTGCCCCAGTGTCATGGTTCTGGGATTAATGGTATCCCCCCTCATGATCAGCTGTGCCACTCCTTCCCATCCTAGTTGAACCTGTCCATTCATTTATTTATGGAACTGGGGGTAATACTCAGCTTAGTCCCCATTCTTATTATTTTGAGGCATGGTCTTGATAAAAAGTTGCCAGGAGCTGACCTCGTCTCAAATTAGGGGATAGAGTGGGGCATGGATATAGCAAAGTGGCATAAGCACCTGCCTGGCAAGTGCAAGATCCCTAGTTTGATCCCTGGTACTGTAAAGACAAAAACAAGAAACTTACTGGGTATACTTGATTTGCCTGAGGAAACAAGTACTGGTTGTCCATAAAGCATAAAACTCTTTTGGTAAGTAAATACGGAGATCTGATCCAGGAAGAATAGGAAAAATACTTTATTTTGTCCTTAATTTGAGAGTAACCTGAGAGTTCAGAGCAAGGTGTGTGTGTGTGTGTGTGTGTGTGTGTGTGTAATTGTAAAGTTGTTATTTTATTTTATTTTATTTTTGGCGGAACTGGGGATTGAACTCAGATCCTTGTGTTTCCCAGTCAAGCGCTTATCCTACTGAGGCATCTCCCAGACCCCAAAGTTGTTTTTTAAATATTGGGTGTTAAACCTAGGGCTTCAGTGCATTATTTCTTAATTGTACCTCCAGCCCATTCCTTTTCTTTTTGGGGGTGGGAGATGGGATCTTGCTATGCAGTCCTGGCTTCCTTGAAATACCTATGTTATCCAGGCTGGGCTGGAACTCAAAAGTGATTCCTGAATGCTGGGATTACAGGAATGGGCTATGCCTGGCAAGGCCCTGTTTTGAAATAAATTGGAGGAGAGCTGAAGCCTGACCTGGTGCACATACCTGTAATCTCATCACTTGGGAATCAGCTGCAAGTTTCAGGCCAGCGTGGGCTATATAGCATGATGGGGGGGTGGGTAGCTTGCTAAATTGCCCATGCTGGCCTGGCCTCAGATTTGCTATTACTCTGCTTCAGTCTCCTGAGTAACTGAGCTTATTGGCATTTGCTTTATAAAGTTTTTTTTTTTTTTTTTTTTTTTTTTCTTTTAAGGAGGGTAGACATAGGAGTGTTAATTAATTTGGGCTGGTTGCTTACTCCTTAAAAGTAGGTACAGGGGCTGGTGAGATGGCTCAGTGGTCTAAAGCACCTACTTAGAACAAGCTTAGCAAAGCACAGGGACTGCGGTTCAATCCCCCAGCACCACA